CCAAGCCAAGAGCGTTTAATCGATTTCTCAGTTCGATTATAGACCACTGCTCGAAGCTCTTGCCACAGTACATAGCCTCTCCGTACTAGCTGGCGGCACTTCCCTCGCTTCTTGCGGTCGCCCTTATTGTCCGTTTTCACTCGCGATCTGTACGGCTCACTTGCGTCCACTCGCGTTTTCGGTCTACTAATGGGCTTCCAATCCCATTTCTGATTCTGTAAGCTATGGGTCGGTAATGCAGAAACAAACAGAACTCTTTATTATAGTTGCTATTTATTAGCTGCAAGTTGGCTCGCGTCAGCTTCGCTCGCCATGTTGTACTCGACTACTGTTCTCCTTCTCTATCGCTTTCTTCTCGCTCCACGCCACCTATCTCTTCCGGTTCACGCTCGCTCAGCCTATCACCGCTGTGGCTTACAATAATAACTCGAAAATTGTGCCAGGATATTCTGGAAAACTTTTTCTCCTATATGCGAGCGATGGGAGCAGCAAATGATCATCCATCGCCCATAGAATTTAGAAACCGTTTAAAATGGTACATTCTTGGTAAACATTCCGAACACGCTATTTCTGTGAGAGGAAACACAGAAATTGATAATACCTCAGAGCCATTATTTAGTTTACATGATGTCCATTCTGAGAGTTCCTGTGTGTTCCGGATTCAATTATGAATCTCGGTCTGTTCGTCACCGGCGTGATGGCAGCATCAGCCGGGTCAGATCGTGCAGCGCCACAGGGGCGCTGCGCGCGCATGCCCGATCGCGACGCGAGGCGACCGCGCTTCTTCACGGTCGTTTCCGGCGCCTTTTGGCTCATGGCTACGGTACGAAGTACACGCGTCGTGCAGTGCTAAGGACATTAGTGTGCTCTCGTGGACTTTTCTCACCGAAGACTAGACTCAGTGTGAACAAATAGAGGACTCAACAGTGCGACTCGACTCAGGCAGCTCGGGATACAGCATCACCGGCGACTCAGGCTCACCACGCATCGCGCAAGCCGGCGCCGCGTGGACACGGCTCACGGGCATCTACATCGCGAGGCCGGTGTTCGATCAATAATATCGACCCGTGCAAGTGATTTAAGGACTTCTCATTCACCGCTTATTCATAGACTGCTCACTGTAAGCTTCTTTCATTTATTAAACTGGGACACGATACTTTTATCCAAACTACACGAGGTACGATCACGTGATTTTCACCCTCGCAAGCGTGCATCCGTTCCCTGAGCCTCTCACCGCTAAGTCCTCTCACCCTGCGTCCACCAGCAGCGGTAACCAGCGAACTCGCCTCGCGGGATTCGCGAACATTTTTTGGTCCTTCGAGCCGGATTGCGGCGAGGCTCTCGGACGGCTCATCTCAACGCGCAGTGATCACGTGATCTCACGGACGTTTCGCGTGATCAGGGGCGCGCTCACATACGGGTTTCATCACTTTGTACACGTGATCTCACGATTCTCTCGCGTGACTCACTGATACTGCTCACCTCTCACCACCCAACGAGAATCCTAACCTCACTCGTGCTCACCCATGGCGGACGAAGGCAAGACGGGCAAGACGGACCGCCCGGGCACTCCGTCGCTGGAACTGCCGACTGGAGACCGTACGTCAGGGAGGACGGCGTCTCCTGCTCGGCTATCACCGGAGCTCGCGTTGAAGGCTCAGACGCAAATGGGCCGGATTACATTGCTCAGGGAGCTCATCGACTCCCTGCCGGATGCCGCAGCGGGGACCTCGCAGGAAGAGGTCTCCCAGTTTCAACAGCTGGTCGAGGAGACGCACAAGGCCTTTGTCAAGGAACACGCCTACCTTGAGGTCTCATGGCCGGCGGCGCTCATTCAACATGAGTATTTTTCAGGAAATGCTCACCTCGAAGAGTCGCGGTGCTACCTGCAGGCGCGACGGATCATAGGCGTGCTCCGCCACGCACTGTCAGCTCAGGCCGCTCAAACACAGACCAACTCATCGGCCGGCGAGATCAGACAGACGCACTCACGCTAGCCGGACATCTCACTCCCCAAGTTTACTGGGGAGTATGCCGCGTGGCCTGCGTTCAGAGATCTCTTCGCCAGCCTGATCATGAACAACGAGCAGCTCACGAACGTCGAGAAACTTCACTACCTCCGTTCGTCGGTAGAAGGCGCGCCAGCTCAACTGATCGCAGGGTTCACCATGGCAGGAGACTCACTTACGCCGTCCTGGGAGCTGCTCAAGGACCGCTACGAAAACAAACGTCTGCTCATCCATGCCTGCCTGGATAAATTATTTGCCAGCTCAACCCCGGTGCCACGGAAGGCGGCGGCATTGGATCGACATGTCTCAGGATTCAGGGAGGCGCTCAAGGGACTGGAGGCCCTAGAGGTTAAGGAACAACTCGGGGATTGCGCAGTGGTATATCATGCCACGCGACTCCTAGACCGTGTGACGCGCGAGCAGTGGGAGAACTCGGTCGGAGCATCGCGAGACTATCCCACGTTCGAGAAGCTCGACGAGTTTCTGACGACGCGGATCAGGGCTCTCGAACGGATCGAGAGTACGACAGCTCATCCTGGCCCCAGTACAGCCTCCTCACCAACAAGGAAGTCGGCAGCTCAGCAGGTGGCTTATCAGGCGACTCATCAGGGCGACTCGTCGTACCCGTGCGACCATTGCAACGCGCACCACTTTATAGTGATGTGCACGAAGTTCCGTGAGTTGTCTGCACAGGACCGGCACAGGGTGGCGGTGACAAAGCGCCTGTGTTTCAACTGCCTGGGACGCCACAGCGTGCGAGCATGCAAGTCCCAGCGCGGGTGCAAGAAGTGCTCGCAGCGGCATCATACGATGCTCCACGACGCATCAGCAACAACGTCGACCGCTCAAAAGCCTGGCGGCTCGCCGGGCACGCCCGCAACATAAGAAGACGGTGCAGTCGTCGAGGCCAGCTCAAACGCCCGCTCATCATACTCGACTCTACTCGCCACAGCCTTGGCAGTGATTAGCTCATCGACAGTACAACACTCAGCGCGTCTGCTCATTGACACAGGATCCGAGCTCACCTTCGTCTCGGAGAATCTCATCCGGCAGCTCAACATCCCTCGTCAATACTCAGGTATTGTCATCACTGGAATTGCAGGCAAGGAGTGTACTCGGACACGAGGAGTCGTGTCACTCACGTTACGCTCGACACATTCCAACGCAGCTGCCACAATTCAAGCTCATGTCCTCCGGACAGTTACATCAATCTTACCATCGTTCGAGGCGGAACCAGAAGAATGGCCGCATCTCAGGAACTTGGCATTAGCCGATCCTGATTTTCTCATCCCGCGGCCAGTTGACATCCTCATCGGCGCAGACGCTTACGGGCAAATCATCAAGTCCAATGTCATCAGGCATTCTCCACTCATGCCGATAGCGCAACTCTCCATTTTCGGATGGCTCGTTCTTGGGCCAGTCAACAGGGAAGCAACACGCACATCAACGCACCATGCTTCTACTCAAGTCAACGAGGATGCCCTCAACGAGTTACTGACAAAATTCTGGGTTCAAGAGGAGGTGCCTACTCACGATGTCAACCAACTCACTCCTGACAAGCAGAGGTGCGAAGAGCACTTCAAGGCCACACACTCTCGTGATTCTTCAGGGAGGTACGTCGTCAGGATTCCGCTCAAATCACCAGTATATCTTCTGGGTGACTCGTACCACGTCGCCCATCAGTGCCTCAAGGGATTACGCAGACGATTCTCAAGGGATGTGAACTATCAACGTCTCTATCAACAATTCATGATGGAGTACGAGACACTCAATCACATGACGAAGGCATCATCCATCTCCAGTCGTCGCTCACACTTCTACCTACCACATCACGGTGTTCTCAAGCCTGACAGTACAACAACGAAGCTGCGAGTCGTATTTAATGGCTCCAGCGCATCAACATCGGGCTACTCTGCGAACGACCTCATGTATACTGGAGCGAAATTGCATCTGAATATCTCAGATGTTCTCCTCTGGATACGAAGACACCGTCACATTTTCGCTACGGACATCACCAAGATGTACAGGCAGATCAAAATTCACAAGGATGACTGGGAGTTGCAACGGATACTCTGGATGGACGATCAACTCAATGAAGTGCCATATCATCTGACAACCGTCACCTACGGGACAAAGGCCGCGCCGTTCTTGGCCGTTAGGACGCTGTTACAACTAGCAGAGGACGAAGGACATAAATATCCACTGGCTGTGCCATCCATCACTCATGGCAGGTATGTCGATGACATATTTGGTGGTGCAGATAAGATTCAACAATTGCAGGAGGTCGCACATCAACTAAAGGGCCTCTGCATGGCAGGCGGCTTCCCACTAGCAAAATGGCATGCTACTCATCTCGACATACTCAAGACTGTCACCGACAGCGAAGACCAAGGCTTACCAATCACATTCGACGATTGCGCAACCAAGATACTCGGACTAAAATGGCTCCCTCAAGAAGATACATTTGCATTCTCAACGCGAAGCTCACGCAAGGAAGGCAGGCTCACAAAACGCCTCGTATTATCTGAAGTGGCTCAGATATTCGATCCACTTGGCTTTGCATCACCCGTCGTGATCAAGGCCAAAATTCTCTTGCAGGAGCTGTGGCTGCACAAGCTCCAATGGGATGATCCACTGCCATCCCAGCTCTCAACCCGGTGGCTCTCCATCAGAGAAGAACTCACAAGTCTGGCCAGACTCTCAATACCTCGGTGGCTCAATACATGGAGCGACTCGCAAGTGGAACTTCATGGATTCTCTGATGCTTCTCAATTGGCAATGGCTGCAGTCATATACATATCCGTTCACGACTCAGACGGCGCCACGTTCTCACTTGTGTGCTCCAAAACTAAGGTAGCACCTCTCAAGCGGCTCTCAATCCCGCGACTTGAACTCACGGCTGTT